AACACCCACAAAATCTTTGAGATGTGTCTCTTCCTAAAGTGACCGACTTCTGGAAAGGCAGACATGGGGGATGTTGAAATGGCAGCGTGGGAGATGTGGTATTTGTGTTGGTAGCCTGGAAGCGGTCAGGGTAGGAGTAAGAGATGGTGCAAAATGTGGCAGGGGCATCCCCAGAGCATTTATAGCCACATAAATAAATTAGAGAGATGTGTTCTGGTATAATTTTCCCAGCTGCTGTCCTTCCTGTGCCACCAGTGATCCAGCATCCGAGTGCTCACACAGAAAGCTTCGTGTTTGGTGTTTTCTGTTGCAGCAAGGTGAATTCTTCGTCCCTCTGCCTGAGTTGGTTTTATTTTGCCGTAGCCTGTGATAGGGAAGTTAGTCAAGCCACCAGAAGTGAAGAGCTGCGTGGAAAATGTGGTTTTCTCCTCCAAAATCCATTAAGAGAAAATGCTTTGGAAAATATTTTGCAGAAAACAAGATAACTTATGTTTTTGATTTTTTTTAGTTGAAAATTAATTTTCAGTTAAAATTCTCATAAGCCAGAATTTTCCTTTTGAATGTGTCTTTCAGCTGAAAATGCTGTGAAAAAAAATGCATATTGTTCTACTTGAACCTCCCTTCAAAGCTATAAAAAAAAGGTTATAAAAAGGAAAGCAGAGGGTAACATGGTAATTTTTCTCAGAGCAAGCGGAGACTGAGGGTTTATTCTGAGATGAGATGGAGCCATTGGAGGCCAAGGAAATCTCAGAAGGGTCCTGAAGGCACCCAGAATCACTTTGTAATTCGGTGATTTTGGAAGGAGTTTGAATTGGAAATATTACTGGCTTTTTCCCTAGAAATGTTTGAATTTGTCTCTGTCTTAGGGCTGTAATTTTTTAATCTCTGAATGTGGTTGATGGTGACTGTGATAGGATAATACGACTATCTTGTCTACTTGCTTATCAGGGAAACATGTTCATCCTGTGAATCACTTGAACATCAAATTAAAAAGTTCATTGAAGTCTTTCAGGATAAAGAAAGGCATTGTTCCTGCATGCTGTATTGGGGGTGATTTCTCTTAGGTGTCCTCTGCCCTCACTGAGTGTGGCCCTGCCACCAAAATTCTGGTGGTCGCTCTGGCTCTGTCCAGCTTGGACTCTGTCCCCATGACACGCCTGCCTTGTCCCCACCTTGCTGGCCCTGCTATCACCTACGTCTGCTGAGCAGGGCTCAGTGAGAGAAGGCACTCGGCATCTCCCACCTTTGCCTCCCACAGACAAAAAAAAGAAGGCAAATGCCAAAGAAGGAAGAAAATAAAAGCCAGGCAAGACACCACCATCCTGCAGCACCCTGGCAATTGCTGAGACTCCCTGGTAGAAGTCCTTCCCTGTGTGTGCTACAGGCAGCAGCTTGGAGCTCTTTGCTAAAGTGGGATCAGGCTTTGCATGCTCGAGGAGAGGAGCCCTGTGACTCCACACGCAAGAAGGTTGTGGCACAGCTGGGAGTAGGAGCCAAGTCTTAAAGATGATAATAAGTCTTAATCACAACAATATTTTTTTTTTCCTTATCAGAGTAATACAAAACCCTCCCTTGCATCTTTCATTAACCTTCCCTTTTCAACACCCTAAATTTTGGAAGACTGGGCTAGCCCTTGGGGCGACTGAATGGTGCAATGCCTCAGTTTCCCTCTTGCACTCTCCTGACATGAGAAAAATACTGAGCAAGGATTTTTCTCTATCACATGTCCTGCTGCTGGCACTGCAAACCAGACCATTCAGAAAGGCTTTGGTCCCTGCCTCATCATTCATGTGACTGCTGACTGAATACAAAATGTAAAAGGTTACCTGCTCCATGCAGATAACATCAACTGGTGCACATTTTTAACCGTGGCTGGAAACAGCAGCCAGTTTCATTGGACCAGTGCGGGAAAAGAGTCACCAACCCAGGTCTTGCAATATTTTCCTCAGCAGGTGCGTTGATGTGATGAACTGCAGAGTTTCGCATAGGTGTCCTCCAGCTTGGTAAAGATATTCAGCTGTTTGACTGAGGGGAAAAGGGTTCTTAAAATTCATAGGTTTATGCAGATGGTTGCTTGACTGTACATTAAAAGTTTTAGCTGTCTGCCTGCTTATTTGAAGGCTCAGTTTGACATCAAAAATGGAATTATGTCTGTTTGCGTGGAAGGGTGAGAGGGAGGGAAGCAGAAAAAAACTTTTAAGGCCAGTCATTCATTTGTATTTTACCTGTATCTTTTTAGGGGTACTGAAATGACCAACTTTTGTCCAGATGATTTGAAAAGGAATGTGGACAGAGGTCTAGAAAGGCTATTTTCAAATAGCTACCAGAGAGAGGGTTTACTTTCTAGTGCATGCAGGATGTTTTACATTATTTTTTTTATTCCTAACAGGAAAATTTTCTTATGGTCTCCAAATCCTGGTAACTTTTACCAGACAGTTTAACAGTTTAACTTGGAAAATGTTTCAGTGACACCTATCTGCCCCTTAGTCTCCATAAGGGGTTGGGGCATGAGTCCAGGGGGCTACAAAGCCAACAAAATATTGGGAAGAGGATATGGGCAGGGTGAATGTGGTGATTTTTTCTGAAGGGATTTTGCTTTGAGAAAATGCAGAAGTATTTGGTGATTTTTGCTTGGAATTTCTCATCTTTCCTTGCATGCTCATCTGTGATGGGTCAGTGCTGTACCAGGCAGGGTGTGAGGCACCATAGATGAAGGTGTGCAAGGTGGCAGGATGCCTGGGACTGATTATGCTGGGACATTTTCACCTGGGTTTTTGGGGGTCATTTCCTCATTTTTCCCTCTGGGATGTTGTATTTGGTGAAAAGTTACTGCTGCAGAGTTCTATGGGGTGTCAGCAGGGAGGGCATGGCAGGAAATGAGCAGAGCACTGAGCAGAGGGGGGACATGGACTGGATAGGTTCAGGGCCGAGTCCCTCACAGCTTGTGGGGACTCTTCTGGAGAGCAATGCTGCCACTTAGGGTTGGATGGTCCTTCCTGTTAAAAACCTCCATTTTCAGCTGTTTGTAAAAATTAGTGAAACCTCAGCTAGCAAAGCACAGACCTTCCCTTCTAATTACCCTCTTCTTAAAAACAGGGAGGGCAATAAAAACATAAAAACAAATGATGATTTGAGCCACAATATTCACCAGTATGGAAAACTCCACAGCTGGAGTGACACACAGGAGTTATTTCTTTGGCAGAGGGGATGAATGCTGTGGTTGAATGTGCAGCCAGGGAGGGAGGATGTGCACTGAGGGTCCATGGGACAGGGCAGGTCTCTGCAGCATGGCTGGGGGAACAGGGCAGGGGGAAGCAGGCAGCTGGTGCAGGCAGGATGGTTTCTCCCCTGCCTATGCCTTGTGAAACAGTTGGCAACAGTGTGATTGTGTACTCCTCATGTGGCACGTGGGGTGGGTCTATGAATCAGTATTTCACCACAGCTTATCTGCCAGGCCCCTGTTTTGGTGTTGCAGAAGTTGGACAAAAAGGGATCTAAATGAAACAGGAGCTGGTGGGAAAATAAAGGTTTAATAAGGCTCAGCTGGGTCAATGAAACAACTGATAAGACAAATGCACACTGGCTGCTGCAGATCTGGAGCCTTTATGCCTCTGCAGGAACTGCACTGCTGCCGAAATCTTGTTTTCCCACCGGCTGAGAACAGCTCTGTGCTTTCTAGACCATGATACAATAAAGTCAGCATTGTGTCTCCAAGCCTCAGGTCCCACATATGGCAGCCACGTGACACAAAGCTTTAACCCACAAAAAACTCACTCCTCCAGCTCAAGCATTGTTTAACAGGTTTCTGGAGGTTAAAACTTGGCATCTTGCTGTTATCCCCATTTACGCTTGAGATGTTATTTGCTATTTGGAACGGCTTGCTGCCCAGCCTCTTTTGGCCAGAGTTTTTTGGAAGGGAGAAGGATGTAATTGATAGATAGGTTGTTTAAAACTTCCTTGATGGTGTGACTCATTGCAGGAAAGATCCCATGTCCCTCAGCCCTGGCATTTCCACTCACAGTGATTGACTGGCTCTTCCCACGTATTTTGAAGTGCATTAATGCTAATTAATTATCTGTAAACCTTATCACCAGCTCACCTACTAGGAAACAATACCCACTTGAAGATAGTAATCCCTAGGACTGATGTTATGTCAGGGATTGGCTGCTTCCCAAGAATTATCTCCCTATCTGTGGAAAAAATGTGCTGAGGCCAGTGGGTGCAGCAGTGGAGGCGGCTCCATTAGGGGTGACTGAGGCAGTGAGTGGGCCCCTTTCTTTTGTCAGAGCTGAATGGTGGAGGTTATTGCTCACATCTCACCCCTCAGCAAGGTCAGGACAGGCCCAGGATCTGTGTTCTGGAGGACATCAGTGGGTACTAATATGGGAACATGGACACAAAGCTGATGGATTGTGCACCCTGTGTGGATGTCAATCGGCTGTGGCTGATTGACTGATGTCCCTGTGAGCACCCTGCTCCAATGGGGATGGGGTAGCCAGGGCATGAGCAACTTCTGGCAGAAGCAGGCACATGGAAAGGGAGCCTCACTGGTGCCTTTGGCCCCTCAAGCAGCAACTGGGGTAATTGCACCCCACAGCCTGGCATTGGACAAAATTTGGTGTATGCAGCAGGGGTTGGAGATGAAGTTGGGGCAGTGATGAAGAGGAAATGCTTAGAGGGAAAACAAAGCAGCAGAATTTCAAAGGCAGGAGCTTTCCTCAGTATTTGCATATTCTCACTGACTTGGTGTGGGAACAGGCATTTGTTGTGCAGTAGCCTTTGTGGCGAAGTAGAGTGGATGCTGTGGGTGTATAAATGTCTTCCTATGGAGGAAGTCAATGCACCTGTGTTAATAGGGCAGAGCCTTGTTTTTCCACAAAAAGATTTCTGACTCATGGTGCTGCCTTCTGATCCCTCCCTGTGGTCTAGAGGACCCTGGGGATCATTGGCACGAAAAAATCCACATGAGAGTTTTTAATTACATCCATTATTCACTTCCCCTCAGACCATGTCTTCCTCCATTAAAATCGAGTCTGTTGTGAAGGAGAAGAACCGGATGGGAGAGTGCCCAGTCTGGGAGGAAAGGGAGAATGCACTTGTCTACGTAGACATCAACTCACAGAAAGTGTGCCGCTGGAGCCCAGTCACCAATGAGGTGCAGAGCGTGTCTGTGGGTAAGAGTCTGTACTCACTGCTTCATCCTGGGAGTCTTCTCTGTCCTGTCCACCCCTCCTGGTAGGAATTCTCCAGGTTGGTGGTCTCTCTTACTTTCCATGGGACCACACACCCTGTCTTCCCACAACGTGTTGCTGAGCACAGTGTGGCCTAAGCCAGCCAAGCAGAGAGGACCATGAACATGTTGTCCCTGATGAGCCTAAATGGGAATGCATGTTTCATTTGGGAACTGCAGAGGAAAAGGTACAGTCCTAATGGCTGTGCCATCCTAGAAGGTGGAAAAATCCGTAGAACAGAGTGCCAGTGAGATGTGCTAACAATCCCAGGGGAGAAGGATCCTAGCATCAGCTCAGCCTTTCCTGGCTGGGGATGTCCCAGTCAAGCCCAGATGCCCTTGTTGCGGGCTGAGTGATGGCCCCAGAGCCACCCTTCATCTTCTGCTCTCTCTCACGCACAGATGCCCGTGTCGGCTCAGTGGCTCTGCGCCAGTGTGGGGGCTATGTCATCGCCCTGGGGACCAGGTTTGCCTGCCTGGACTGGGATACCCAGGCAGTCACCACCATCCTCGAGCTGGAGCAGGATAAACCCAACAACAGGTTCAATGATGGGAAAGTGGATCCAAAGGGGAGGTTTTTTGCTGGTAAGTTCCTGGCAGAAATTTCCCCTGGAGCTAAGGGAAACTAATTACAGTGTATTTTATATAAGGCATTTTATTCCATGTCTTGTGAATGCTCTGCTTGGTTACTGCCCAGTGGAGGAGGACAGGGGCATCCACATCTTCTGACCTAGATGAGGACAGATGCTGTTGACAAGGGCCATCTGTCAGGAAGGCTCTCCTACTTGGTGGAATGTGTTTTTCAAACAACTGTCTTCATGGAAAAGCCAGTGAAGGGGTCATACAAGTGTGATTTTTTTCTGGAGATGTAGAGAAGGATGCAGCTTCTAGAGTAGAGCATGAGCTTCAGCTTGCACCCTTTATATGCAGCCTCTCTTGGTTAGCCTGTGAAAAATAAGTATGTTGGGTGAAGCCTCCTGAAGGCAAGAAGGATGTTCAGGTTGTATATTATGTAAAAGGTCTTCACCCACAGGGTGGTCAGGCACTGGAACAGGCTCCCCAGGGAAGCAGTCATGGCACCAAGCCTGGCAGAGTTCAAGAACTGTTTGAAAAATGCTCTCAGGCACATGGTGTGCACCTGTATTTTAAGGTCACAGCCCATATAAACCACGACAGTAGCCTATAAAGAGCAACAACAAAAACAGCATATGATGCCTGCCTGCATCTTGGCTTTTGTTGTGAGTGAAGCCTCAACCCCCTGGCGCATCCTGGTGGTCCTTTGGGTCTTTGATGTCTATGACTTAAAGCTCATGGCAATACAAAAACATCCTTTAATTGGCCAGGATCAGCTCTGTGGGAGGCAGCTGCACCTGATCTGCTCCTTTTTCTCTTTTATCAGTCTGACAGGACCTATTAGTCCCTTTCACCATAGAACTGTAGAATTGTAGAATGGTAGAATTGTTTGGGTTGGAAGGGATCATTAAGACCATCTAGTTCCAAATGCCCTGCCATGGGCATAAACAGCTTCCACTAGACCAGGTGGCTCAAAGGTCTATCCAGCTTGGCCTTGAATACTTCCAAGTATGGGGCAACCACAGCTTCTCTGGGCAGCCTGTTCCTTTGTCTCACAGAAAAGAATTTCTTCCTAAAAATCTTCTCTTTTTGGGAAGAAAAGAAAAAAAAAATTCATAGTCCTGTGATTCTCCCTAGGAGCTCTTGGTAACACTTACAGGTGGTTTTTGGTCAAACACAAGGAGCAAGCTTCTACTTTCTAACCAGCGCTCCCACTTCCATTTCAGGTACGATGGCTGAAGAGACAGCACCAGGGGTCCGTGCGAGGCGGCAAGGAGCTCTCTATACCCTCTTCCCTGACCATTCAGTAATAAAACAGTTAGACCAGTTGGACATCTCCAATGGTCTGGATTGGTCCCTGGACCACAGGACCTTCTTTCACATTGACAGCCTGTCATACGCTGTCCATGCCTTCAACTATGATGTGCACACTGGAAAGATTGGTACACATACTTTCAATTTTGGTGACAAGTAGTGCTACTGCTCTGTCTGCAGCAAGACCTGAGCCTGTGAGAGGCATTGATTTATTTGACAGATCATATATCTTCTGGTTTTAACTTGACAGCTGTTTGACTGTGATATTTCTCAAATTTAGTTACACACCAGGTGGATTTGGTGAACAAATTTTGACAGTCTTTCAGCTTACTTTGATCTGGAGAGATGGCTCATACTTTGACCTGTTCAAAGAGTTGCAGGGAAGAAGCCATTTACACTGCAGAATGAGAAAGACCTTTTAGGATGGTGTTTATTCTTGAGTGCCATCTACTGGAATTACTTTGACTGTGCTCGCTCCGTAAATACAAGTGGAGAACGTGCACGTATTTCACAGAAAGATGTTTGGAGAATCGAGTTATCATTGTGACCAAGGTTTCCCAAGCAAATTTCTGAAATTAAGATGTTTTCAGATTTAACTTAAATTAATTTTATGGATAAACACTTTTTATTACATCTGCAAGGAAGAAAATTTAAGTGTAAGCAAAATGTATCTAACCTCATTTCAAAACGCTTTGAAATATTTTCATACTGTATCAGCCTGATGTACTCCACAGGAATTTAAATGCCTGAACTGCCTTTGTACTTTAAAGAGTGCAGACTTTGGGTAATCACGATGAAAATTGCACAAAGTAATTACATTCACTCAGATTTCATTTTGTTGAGAAGATGTCTTTCTATAGATTTTAAGAAATAAGATTTCAAAAGAAGATATAATGCAGCCTTTCCCTCTGCAAATACAAAAAAGTAATATGTTTGAGCTTCCTAGGCTTGGCTTTATGTCTGGTCTTGGATAATGTAATGACCAGAAGGTGCTGGGTGGGTCCATGGCCCATGGGCCCTACTCCATGGACCAGATGTGCTCACCAACAAATCTGCACTGCATCCTAGACCATGAGCAATTGGTGTCCAGGCTTAATCAAAACTGGTTGCTTGGCTGGCCATTAAAAAGTAAAGTTTTTGACCTTAAGCTAGGAGAGATTGCTTTTCACCAATGTTTAAACTCGGGTAATTATTTTGGTGACCTATTCAGGCTGCCATGACCAATGAAAGTCCAGGAAAAGTTATTGTATTTACAGCAGTTGTGTTATGGCAGGCAGCAGGTGAGTTAACAAGAGAGATGAGGGCACTTAGTTCTCTTCTCTTGGTAAAATAACAGGAACACTAATCTGGTACAATCCCAGACTGAAATGGCTGTGCTGGGGACTTGCCTTTGCCAGGCTGAATTAGGCTTTTAACACATCTGCAAAATGCGGGTGTGATGTACATTTTGCAGCGAGTCTTCCTCACAGAAAATGAACGTAGCTGTTTGCCAAGGGCATGGAAGATGCTAGACTGGGATCTGATACAGAATGGGTAGCAGCCCACATAACATCATCTTTGTAACTCTTCCTGCAGCCTGCCCTAAGCTTTTGTACCATCTGGAAAAGGAGGAGCAAATGCCTGACGGGATGTGCATAGATGCAGAAGGGAAACTCTGGGTGGCCTGTATTGATGGTGGCAGAGTCATTCGCATAGACCCAGAGACAGGTGAGGCCTCCACTGGTTTGTGCACATAAATGTGAGGGAAATGGCAGCAGGAGGAGTGGTTTGGAGGTGAGATAAGGTGGAATTTATTGCCCATTTCTGCCCCATGGGTTGCCAAGAGCATCGCTGGCTCAGGCTCTGATCATGTAGAGAGTTCAGCTCCCCGTTCTGCCTTCCAGTGTCAGATACCCCTGCTCCCTTGTTGGCTGATGAACTGCACACTGTCCTTAATAATACCACTATCAACAACCCCCACAAAATACTGCATATAAAATTTCTCATGTTGAAATGTTTAACTGGAAAATGCTTAAGGAACAACATCCATCCCAGGCCAGGTGTCCCTGCCCTTCCTGACCTCACACACAGTACTGCTTTGTTTTGAGAAAAGGAAATGGAGCCTTGCAGATGTGGGGGAGAGCCTGAAAAATAGTTAGACATGAGGCAGATGGAATAATTTGATTTCCCCACAAACTGTCCTTTGGGATATGGTCTGTGTCTGAAGGGGAAGTGCTTACTGAGTAAATGTCACATCAGTGCCACGTCTATTAATAGTGCATTCATAATTACATGATTCCTAAAAAATGAACATTAGAAAACAATTGCACATTTTGTTGCACAATTGCACAGGAAAAAGGATCCAAACTGTGAGGCTGCCTACTCCAAGGATCACCTCTTGCTGCTTTGGTGGAAAAGACTACTCAGAAATGTATGTGACTTCTGCCTACGATGGACTGGACGAGGCCACCTTAGCCAAGGAACCTCATGCAGGAGAGATTTTCAAGGTGAGCAGATTTGATTTCTTTCTTTCCGTACATCAGACCCACCAAACCTCATGTTCTGAGAGTGAGGTGGCCCTGGCTGCCCTTACTCATCCCACTCACCTCATGAGCTGCTCCAGGTGCATTGCTTGTCCCCCAGCCAGGCCCAGCTGCTTCTGAATAGATGCTAATTGTGCCAGGTGATCGAAATGCTTACAGAATATATTTCTCCTTTAAAAATTAAATGTTTATATTTACCAAAGCAAAATTTTGCATCTCAACCCAAAAACTTTTCTCTCTTCATTTTTTTTTTGCTCCATTAGTAAAAAGCACATCAGGAAAACAAAATGCTGTTCATACTCAGAAATTGCCATCAACCCAAATCAAACTCTTTTATTGGTTTAGCCACAGGATGAACATGTTATAGCAGGGATGGAGATCTATTCTGGGGTCTAGGACATTCCTGTTGAAAGCAATGCTTAGAGCAGATTTCTCATGGCTGAGAATTGATATATTTAGGCAGCACAGTTTGGAAGCCCACAGGAGGATTAAATAAGCATCTTTTGTAGTTTTGTTTTCCAGTTCCACAAGGGAATTGGTGTTTTTCAAACTCACATTTGTCTTGCACAGGCAAAGCGTGTTAAAAGTTACTATGAATTGTTTTGAAGATAAGGACTCCATGTGAGGGCCACAGATAACATTTAAATTAGCAAAATTATTCAGTAGTGCTTGATAATCTTAAAGAGTTTGAAAGAACTCCAAGTAATGACTCATTTTGGGCTCCTCTTGAAGCAGGGGATCCTCCAAGACTCCACATGGTAGTCTTGTTGCTATGATATTTGTTCTACAATGTTTGAATGTTTTCATTATACTCAGTTGGAGATTTATCTCTTTCCTTTCTTTTATCTTTCAATTTTTAATTTTTTAAAACAGATAACAGGCCTGGGTGTGAAAGGGATCCCACAGAACTTCTATGCTGCTTGAACCTTGGCACTAAACAGCAAAGAAATGCTTCCATCTTGTAGTAATTCTGACTGGAAGAATTCAAAAGAACTACAGAATTTATTTGTGTGAAGATTTCTAAGCCCACATTTGTGAGTGTGCTTTTTTGGAGTTGAAGATATTTCTTCTTCTGTGGGCCTGTGGCTTGAAGCAATAGGTTAGAAAGGTAAAGTTAATCTGTGTTACACCTTGATAGCTTTTGTGACTTTCCCTAAACCTCTAAATGCTCAAGCGTAGTTTTGCTCAACTTTCTGATGACCAGCTCTGGATTTTCAAGTCTGTGCACTTCCCAAAGCAGAATCTGACTCCTCATGTTACAGTGATGCACCAGCAACAATATGGCAGATTTTAATAAACATTTTAAGAGTGGTGTCTTGAAATGGACTGTTCCTCTGCTGCAGGATTCCCCTGAAGTATCTTGGTTGGTTGTTTTTTTGGGTGTTTTTTTTTTTTTTATGATCAGACCTATTTGTAGTATCCAGGTTCCATTTTTACATCCTCATTAGCCTTTTTCCAGGCTGTCCTGTCTTTAGGACACTACTTAGGCTGCTGAAAATAAACTACACAACTATATTTAAAGAAATGCCTACAGATGTTTTTTTCTCTGCATTCAGATGTTACCATGAAAACTGTGTCAGACCACACAGTCAGTGCACACACAGGCTGTGAGCCACCAGGACAGCCTGGGATACCAAACACGGATGCTCAGTGGAGTTGTCCTTTCAAGAGTGATATTTCCATCCACACACATGAACTCCCCTTTGCTTTAAGTGTCTTATTGTGCGCATGGCGTCACCGTCTTGTCCCCCTTTCTTTTGGTACTCATCCTCTTCTGTTTCAAGTATTTTCCTCCTTTTTCCCTTTAGATCTTCCCCTTCCTTCACCCTCCAGAAAGCACAACATCAAGGTGTATTTTTAGAGGCTGTTTAAATAACAACCCAGCACTACCCTGGACTCACTGAACCACTGTGATCCTTTCAGCATTTCAGAATGCTTGAGACCTGTAGATATGCAGTGAAATCTAGCCTTTGCATTGAGTTTGCTCTCCTTTTGCTGCCTGGAAAGATACACAGCACAAAATACATTTTCAAATTTACATGCTGACATTTTGTAATGTCACGAAGAAGGCAATAAGAGGCATCATTTACCAGACCAGATGTTTCAGTGCCTTCCTCTGAGGTATTTGACCTTTTCACCCCTGCTATTCAAAGCCCTCAGACACTATGAGCAGGGAGAAAGTACTCAATGCCTCATGAGGATAATCTCCCCCAATAAATCCTGCATGAAGGAGCAGAGCAGTGTGGTTAGCCTGCAGAAATGTTAAACACAGTTTCAGTAGGGCTGTACACAGGTTGCCTCTAGAATGAGGTGTTTTCTCCAAACCCAGCATCCTAGTGAGGGGTACCTCACGACAGTTTTGAAAGAACAAAGCTGGGTTGATTTTTTTTCCTTTCCTTTTTCCATATTTCCCAACTCTTTTATGTGATAGCCTTTTGGCCTTCTGACAGGTAGGAGATATGGTGCTGAGATCTGATCAGGCAGGGGCTAGGTCAAGCCACATGTCCTAGGAAAATGTCCCACCTGTTTCAAAGGTGGGTGTAACAGGGGAAGCTTAAGTGGTATATTTGGCCCCTCAGTTGAACTGGGCCACAGTCTGGGAAGAAATCTGAGATCCAGAGGACCAGGAAGTACTGTTGAATATACTTGGCCACAAACAGGATTTTCCAAAGTCATGATTATTTCAGTGCTGTCACCTGAAGTCTACCCTAAAACCCATGTTAGGGATTTTTCAGACACTTATTGTAGATGCTTACTTTAGGTCATTAGCAAGCACTTTGCTCCTGGGCTACTTGACCAGATAATTTGTGTAACAGGATAAAGGGGCTTGACCTATCACTCCTACCTTTTGCCCTGGTGGGGAGGTGAGTCCATAGAGCTGCACAGAGACAACTTGATTGAGAAATAAAACATTCAGCTTATTGTAATGTTTGCTCAACAAATAGGCTGTTGTTTTTCTTCCTAATTCATAATTCCAATCATAATTAAACTGCTGGGGGTTCTTAAGAGCAAGGGTGCTAAATGCCCTTCGGCACCATGTCAATGCCAAACTGGTATAAGGAACAAGGACAATTATGCAGGATTTCCTGTTTACCCCATCTGGAGAGGAATGTGAGGCAGGGTGTTTGGAGGCAAGTCGAGTGTCCTAACCTTTAATTAAAAAAAAATATAGGAAGTGAGTGCAGATACTTTATTTAACAAAAAATACCCAGTTATTTGCAAAATTGCCTACCTACTAGGTCCTTTGCTCTGCCAGAAAAGCAGAGTAGAGAATTTTGAAACAATTTACACTTGAGAAGTACTTACTATCCCTGCAACTTATTTTTTTTTTCCTAGAGCTTTGCCAGGCATGTAGGCTGGGGTTGCTGGTTTGTTATTCTCCAGCCACTCCTTCCTCCATTTCTAAAGGGAGACCTGGTCTGTGCCGCTCTCATACTCCAAGATCCAAGTTCCTTTGGGAACTCTCTCTTTGTAGCACTGCTTCTCAAACCAAAACAGGCCTGAAGATGAGTTTCTCTCTGTCACCCAAAGGCCCACTACTTTGCTTCTCTTCAGATTTCAGAAGTTGCTGTTTTGTGATTTTGCTTGCTAAAAAGAAAGTGGTAATTGAAAACCACGTTGAGGCTGTTCTCCAACCTCAGCTCACCAAAGTGAGGCAAAGGCCCCTTGCCTTCAGGCAAAGGATGAAGGCACAAAGGAAGCAGGTACAGGACTGGGTTCGTTCCTTTAGTAGGGAACAATATGGTATCCATAGTTCTCGCTGAGGATGCACTCTGAGGGGGTTACTGGGTGGCTGAGTACTTGATTGGTGTGGGTCAGCCCTACATATGGACAAGCATGACAGGGAGGATGCTCCTGCCCAGGGGTAACCTACAGAAAATAAACCAGCTAATGTGGCACAGACTGATGGGAGCTGGCTTCCGTTTTAAGGGATTGCTCTGTACATCCTTTTATAAGTATTTATTATGTTCTATCTATATTTAACCTATACCACACTGGATGATATTAAACTAATAGCATTTTAAGCTAGCCATTCCATGGTTAAGGGCTCACCTTGTGAAGCATATTAAAAAATGTGCTGGTGACTGACTGGTTTTGTGAAATTCTCTACCTGACTACAGCAAAAGTTGATCTCAGCTCCCTCTTAGTAACCAGGCATTGGTTAACTTTGTTTTTGAAATGCAGCAAACTGGTGGAATAGAAATAAGTACAGAATTTGGAATTTAAAGCTTTTGATTTGTACAGGCTGTGATGGCCTGCCTTTGATGCAGGATACATCTGGCTTTCTGAACTGTGAGAATACATTGCCAGCTCAGGTCCAGGCTCTCATCCACCAGCAGCCTCAAGTCCTCCTGGCAGGGCTGTTCTTGGTTACTGCACAGTGACTGATCCAGGGTCCTGCAGATAATCTGTGTCAGGAGCAGGAAACCAACTCCATTTCCTCAACGTCAGTTCAGCGCTTTATCCACTACAGAATTCGTGAAAAATAAATTAAATTACAGTGTAATCTGAAATTTGGGGAAGATTTCCAATGGCTCTCCAGGGCTTTAAAGAGAGGAGTTACTTTATTTTTGGCATTACATCTGTGTGGTTCTGTTCAGGCCAAGCATTTATTTTCCACTACAGAAACTGCTTCAAGGCTAAGTGCTTTTTTGTCAGCTCTTCCTTTGCTGGGGTACACTAGCCTGACAAAATAGTTGTCTTTCTTTCTTTTTTTTTTTTATTTTTTATTATAATATTAACACACAAACCACACAAACATTAACAAAAAACTTTGGAATATTATTAGGAAAAATTTAGGGTGCTCTCTTTCTTACACGGAGATGAGAGAAGAAATGAGAAGTTTTCCAAGCCCTAAGATAAAGAATATGTAAATGAGATGTAAAATCTTTATTAAGGACTTAAATTTTAGTCTTTAACATTGGAAAGATATTTATTTCACCTTCAGTTTTTGCTTTCCTACCAATATCTCTACTGTCAAGAAAGCTTAGAAATTGAATAATGGAAAATTATTTTGTTCTGCAATGGTGCTAGCTTGCTGTTTTCATTTTCTCTTAAAAACCTTTCCCTAATTCTGCTTTCCCAAAGGAAGGATACTGCATGGAGACCTATTTATATAGTTCCAGCACTTGTATCTTCGTTCTGGGTGATGATTCCTGGTGATTCCCCCAGTAACTCTCTATATACAAACAAAAAATAAAAATATAAATAAATATCTTTTTAATTACAAACAAACAAATAAATAAATTTCCTAGATGTAGGAGAAATATTTGATTCTTTTGAAGGCCTCCAGTGGGAAATCTACTCCAACTAAAATGAATTTTTAAGTTTTGTAATGTCAACAACTAAGAACTTAGTTTTGTTAACTTGGAGTTTTTTCGACATCTTCAAAACACATTCTTTCTTTTATTGCTGACTTATTTATTTGAAGAAGATTGGTCTAACAGGTAGATGCTTAACCCCAAATCCCAAATAAAACAAAGGCAGAACTCTGCATGTGGGACAGATCCTTTATTTTTACATCTCTGTGAGGTATACAAATCATATTTATCACATACTTTTGACCATCCCTATTAAAATCAACTTGGCATGTCAAAGATCTCTTATAATTGTTTCTGCTTATGCAAAATTTCATTTTTCTTAGGCTACAAGACCAGACCAGGTCAATGATTCAAGTAGTAAAAGATTCAAGTAGTGCTGGAGGGTGTAAGTTCAAACTTTTCTTATGTGCCTTAGAGATAGGACTCTGAGATCAGCATACAATAATCAGAAAGGATTGAAGAAAATGTTTATTGATATAATTTTTAATACTAGCCAGACAACAAGATTGATGGAGATGGGCAACTTACTTATCAGTGCAGCACCTGAACGAATCTAATCTCGGGAGCTAGGGTGGGATTCTGGGATCCTTACTGAAAGAGCAAGAAGCCAAATATGCTACAGGTCTTTCAAAGCATTAACTATGTGACAAGACCACCTTTCAGCACTTTGAGAGCCCTTTAACAATGGCTCAGAATTAAGCTGTGCTCTGTGCTCACAATTAAAATTGGCTCCAAAAGAGATTAAAATGTCTAACCAGCACCTATTATGTGAGACAAAGAAGAGGCCTCATAAACTGTGATGAAGGATTTCTTACCTGTTTGATGTAAAGACACCAATTTCACAAACATTACTTCCCCTGACAACAGGACTAGGAGGTACTCCACGAGGACAGGAAAGCCACCCTCACCAGTAACATAAGTGCCTATGCTAAGTCCCACTGCATTCTTATAGTGTACTCCTCTCGTACATGCAGCAAAGATAGTCTCTGTAAAGCTGTCAT